TTGCGCGCTCCAAACTTCCATCGCAATCCTGCGATACGCGGCGGGTGCGGCGTTTGCGACGCCGTGACAAGGGAGAAGTTCCCAGACCCAAGCTATTACATCCCTCCGAATATTTTCTTACACTACAACAACGCAAAGCGTGGAATTCGACAACGCAAAAAATAAACAAGCCGGCATGTGACATCGTATCTTACTTCCTTCTCCATTCAGTAAACAGGAGGAAGTTTTGGATAACGTTCTTCCTCCTGAATTTACAAGATCAAACATATGGCTGATACACGGCATTCCTTCACTTCTACACTAATCTCAAACCTTTGCACTGACACTCTTTAATCAATTGGAGCTTCGTCTTCGTCAGTCAAGTAGTGAGGACGACATGTGCAATACTTATTATATACGTGTGAACATTCTCCAACGGTATCGGATGAAAACATTCCCTGTGATCAAGCACATACAACGTGGAACCAATTTGAATCATTACCTTACTCGCGCGCAGGTGTCTCTTGCGTGTGTTCCCTGTGCCGAAGTGACTTGTTCAAGAAAACTGCCCTTGACTTCCGAAACTTCTCAGCAGCGGATTTTGTGCTGGGAACAAGATTTTCATAGTCACTTAATCACACCGTATTCCGATTTCAAAATCATCATTGAGCGCCGGTGTCTTATTAGGCCTATCCTTTCCATTTGGAAAATCCTTGGGCTCATCAACCGCAAAAAGTTTCCTACTACTTTCCGAGTGGTAGCTTTCTTCACCAGCTTCAAAAAAGGCTTGTAATAAATTTTTTGATGCATCAACATCATCCCGCTGAGGAGGTTTTTTCATCTTGATCATATCTCGTGAATTATTTGTAGTTGGACCACAAACAAACACATTTTTCATTTGAGAATTCGAGAGGGAAGTTCCGGCTCCAGTCGAACCAATATGAGTGAATGGCAGATTACCAGCTGACTACACATTTCCAAAGTCCCTTTGATTCTCAGGCAGAAGGGTGGAACTTGAAGAGGTTCTGACTAGATCATCTACTTTGACGGGATCCGCTTTCTCTTCAGATGAAAGCGGGTTACTGTAGCAATACGCACGATTCCTAAATACTACGCAAGGTTTCTTGGCAAAAAAAAGGCATCGAAACCGCATGAAACCACTTTCAGGAAAAACTTTGACACGTGTAAGACAAAATACGCAAAAAAGGGTTGCCAAAGTCATGCACACACGTCGAAACCAGCCACCATGCACGCGACTTCCGTGCCTTATAACCGAAACTGTCGCGCGCATGACGAGAAAGTTTAGATGCCCAGGCACAGGCAGCTGAGGTGTGCGTTTAGCCATACACAAACAGAGGTTTTACACAACAAATCAGAAGTCGAACTTTCGCTTTCGACGCAAGTATTTTCACTTCATCGTTAACGGGATATGAGGGGACTTGCAAAATATTAGTCAGTCAATTGTACAATTTACTGAAATCATAACGTCACCTGAAGTCCGCATACTTTCCACATCCGATATGCACACGCGATCATTACCGAAGAGTTGTTCTCATCAAGTTCGGTATCTTCGGCAAGTTTTAACCATATTCCTGAAATGGATTAACAAAGATTGCCATCACAACATACATACATACATACATACATACATACATACATACATACATACATACATACATACATATATATACAAGCGATCTCTTGAAATCTCCCATTTTGCGATACATCAAAGGTGATCTCTACTCAATTCCATCACCTAAATGTACCGTGAGAAATATATTGGAGTAGTCCGTCCTCTCACTGTAGCGAGTAGCTGTGCAGTGCTGCATGGGGGTGGCTCTAATGAGGTAGTAGTAAAAATGAGTGAAGAAATATTCAAAGTAACAGTCAAGAGAATTCACCGAGCAATTCCCTCTCCCTTACCCTCCCTTCCCCTTCCAAACATCACTTTCGTAGCCTTTGCTACCAATACTACGTAGCTATAAATTTGTAGAATCATGGAATTTGCCAGAGCGAATAGAATAAGAATCGCTTGTTTGTTTTAAACTTCTGAGTGTTTTGAGAAAATCATGGGACTCGTCACCAGTCATATATTTTCTGATTTTTGGTCAAGTTTGCAAAAACTAAGTTTAATAGCTCTGCAAACTTATAGCAGAATTGCAAGTATAAAATGTTAACAAAAACAACGTTGATTATGGAATCAGGGCAATATATTTTTTTACCTTGATTTTGCAAATCCTAGAATTCACCTTGCATCCTTAACAAACTCCCAATCTTCCTTGTCTGTACGCACTTACAGACTCATATGGACCGTTTATATGTTTTGTTTTCACAGGTATTGCTTGATTTTCTGTTATACTTCCTCTTATTAAGGTATTTTTGTTAATATACCTATAATAAACTAACACCATACGTATAACAGCTCGAGGGAAACAAGACGCCATAGGGTGTTATCACCTTTTACAGAGTTAGCAATTCATGTCTTTCTGCTAATTATAAAGATTTTTACAACTATTCTTACACATATTTCCTTGAAGGACCTGCCCCCAAGGTATGGATTACACGACAGTTTACTGTCATTTAATCAACTATTATTCGTATCGATCCATGGTCGTCTAACGTCGATAGACGTCAACCTTAACATAACAGTTCAATTACCGTATTATCCGATCTCTTTCTACCACTAGGTAGCTTAACTTATATACCTACCTTTTTTAGATTTAATTACTTTCAATACATTCGATTGGTGCCTTTTGATCTGTAAAAAATTTTTTTACAACAGTCCGGTTATAACAACAAATTTAAAAATTTCGACAGTGTTTATATAAACACTCCACCTGTACAACTTTGATAACGGGTTTTTTTCAATTTTTTCAGTCCCTTAGTATAGTCACACTATAGGTTCTTCGTGGGCAAAGCCCTGTGCCCTCACTCAGATATCGCTTGTGAGAAGAACTTATAGCTTCACTATCTTTCTGAGATGCACCGGTCTGCAAATGAACTATGTTATTCTTCTTCCCACAACTTATATAAGAGCTATAATTATACTTACATTTGGCTCATCCGTCTCTGCCAGTCTTGGTAATATAATAATTCCTTGCTTCAATTTTCCAGACATTAACTCCTCTCGCTCTTGACACTTAGTTGACTTCCGATTGGCTTCCCATTCCATACGGGTAATCCACACTTAACTTTACCGCTAACATCGCCGGCTTCATTGNCTTAACTCGTTTTCATTTAATAATTATGTTACTAGTAGTTAGCATGCTTACCAAGTTTCCTCCTATGGGTGACGTTCCGTTTTTCATAAACATCTCTAGGGGTGTCTTTCTCCTTTCCATATACAGTAATCTTATTCTTCTCCTCACTAGTAATCTAAAAACATATTTAATATTAACATAACAAGCCATATAATGTATAGCAGGCCATGTTTTCAAAGAAAATTTACCCCAAATTTTGGTTATCCTGGTCTTTGATTGTCCTTTCACGTATAACTACGATGTGAATTTTGTTCTGTTTATTATATTCCAACAATTTCTTTCGGCCCTTAGCCATAAAGTATTTCCAAAATTCGTTCCGAGCAAGATCTAGTGGATTCCTTTATTACATTTATCTTCTTCCTCGGATGGCGGTTATGCCCTTATAGATCCCTGCACTCGTAGGCCATGACAGTGGTGATGTCTTTCCATCACTAGGAAAATTAAAGTAATGTAAAACATCATGTCAAGGCTATATATACAACATCTATGTATTGTGTAAATCTAAACACCTACCCCAATATTATCTTGGTAAAATGGGATAGAAGACGGTCATACTTCCATTTTGTTTATTCTCCAATGCACATATGCGTACCCATTGAAGTAGTGCGCGTTTATTTACATTCTCTTAGAAACGTGCCTTACGGGTCTTCAGGGCTTAACTGAAATGGATAATATAGTACATAGTGTTCATCTCTTCCGTCCACCTAATTTTTGAAAAAATCCTCTTCCTTTTTTTCAATTTCATACATATTATCCTTCATACAAGTCTTTTACTATTGCTTTACACACGGGAGCCATACCCCTTTAACAATAAGGACTCTTTTGATAGGGTTACAAAAGTGGTTACTAGCAGGGGTAGGTACCACGCCCTCAGAAGGGTCAACGCATCGCTTTTATCTAGTGTGAGGACGCGAATGACTTATAAGGATTTATTAACAAGTATAGCACAATTACATGTCGTAAATACAGAGTAACGAATAGGCGGAAGTGAGACACAGAGAAGAATAAGCAGTCGAGTACAGTCCATGGAGTCGTTCGGCGGGGCAGCAGCCGGGAGCGGAAGACGTCCTGAACCAGAGGCCATGGGTGCGAGCCGCCGTTCCTCGTTCTGTCGTCTGCCACGAATACCAGCGCATCGCCTCGTTCTCCGCGCAGCCTGTAATCAGTGCTTTCATCTAGGAATTCCATCGGCTGCCGCCTGCTCCCAACATCGATCTTACTGAACCCATTACCGTACCCCGCTAGACCCTTACACCTCCCCTTACCACAAACACGCCGTCCTCGGACGTAAGTAACGTGGGGAGCAGACGTGGAAGCAAAAAGTAGAAAAGAAAAAGAGAGAAGTAGAAAAAAAGAAAGGTTCAGAACAATATGAAAAATACTCACCATAGGGAACTGGAGTCTAATCGCAAAGGTCAGGAAGACTGGCTGTGCTGACAATTGTGCGCGCGTTCTCGACCCACTGGATCAAGCGTCCCCAGTTGCGGAGTGTGCGTAGAGTCCGAGCGTATCCCAGAATGAATTGCCCGTGACGACATCTCGTTAGTGCGACATTCATTTTTTCATTTTTTCATTCGTCTCGGGTTATCCAAGAAGTCTCCTGAAGTCGAAGTGACGTCCGTGCGAGAAGTAAGGACGATGACAATGTCCATTTCGCGGCCCTGTACAGAGTCCACCGTGTGTAGGGCTACTCCGTGCTGAGTCGCGTAGTTGAATAGCAGTTGTTGCTGAGCCTTATAAAACGTCACAACGGCAATGGCGTCACATCTCCCTATCCTCGTCTGACAGGTGTAGACAAGCGTCGTGATGGAAGAGTAAGATTTCCAAAAGCCGTCGTCGTTTGATGTAGTGCTGGCATCTTTCCCTTTCCCTTTCCTGCATTCGATCGCTGTATAGATCAGTAAGAGTTTTTAGAACGGTGTGCAGGTCGACCTTTGTGGTGGGTACTCCATCGGCCAAAGCAGAGTCAGCTACAAAGCGGAGGACCGCGAGGTGGCTATAGTCGTCCAGGCGTAGGATAGATGTTCGAGGATCGGTAAATTGGGCACAAGCCACGTTTGTCGTGGCCGTCACGATGACGAATGACTGACGTTCGGCTAGTAAAGCCGCGAGGAAAGCTCCAGTCACGGTCTTGCCTGAACCGTAAGCGGCTTGAATGGCGAGGAGCGGGAGACCAGCGAGTCCCATGTTTACAGCTCGGCGTTGGTCGTTGCGAAGGTGGAGGCGGGAGCCGCGAAAGCGCACCGACGATGGAGAATCCGTAGGGTCAGCGTCCTCTATGGCTAAAGTCCGAGGAGGGCATGCTGTTCCGTAAACCCAATCGAGGATAGTGTTGGCTTGACAGCGTATCGAAGAGTGCAAATCCGCGAACAGCCGTTCTTCAGCTAAAAGTTCGAAAACGGGGTCCGTGCCAGCGGTGGGTCGATCCAAAGTCACACAAATGTCCACAGAACTTATGCCGTGCAGGACCCTACCGAACCTGTCCATAGCGCGCAAGAGTGGTAGATGTGGTGACGGTCTCGCGTGGAGTTCTGCATGGAGTGTCCTGGTCCCAAAGAAATGTTCCGAATGAGCGATTGTCGTGCGGGCCACAGTTCGAGAATTAACGATCCACACCTGAGCAGGTCGTCTCCGTGTCCATCCACTGGTCGTTATCATACGTGGTATTCGCACCTGCAAGCGAACCGGATAGGCTTCTAGGCTGGGCACAACGGCAGAGAGGTGGTGAGTCTGCTTGTCATCGAAGGTGAAGTTGGTTGCCGATAATGCTGCGCAGGCGACGCTGAACAATTTCGACGACGAGAGGAACGTGGATGGTTGATGTAGTTGGTAAAGGATGATGTGCGGTCGTCGATAAATGTTTCGTCGTCAGGCGAGAGGCGTGATTCGGACAATGGCATGATCCCCTCGGTCGGATGTGCGGGGAGAATAGGTCGTACCGCAATAACCAAGAACCACTGAGCCTCACGAGATACTGGAGAATGCGCGAATCGAATGGCTGTGGACACGTTGAGCCGCGTTCCGCTCGAAGAAGCTCGTCACGGCGGGCTTCCGAAAGGCGGAAATTGCAGTTCGATTGCGGAATTTGAAGAGCATCGCGACTTCCTTCGAATGCTGCGCGTATGTTGCGAACCTCGCCAGTCCGTCCAGAGTGCATAAGCGATAAGACGTACCCGAAGATGAAACGAGGTGCGGAGGGTGGTGGCACCAGCATAAATTCGTGAACTCTGAAGAAATATGGCGTGCCCGTATCTAGTATGGTAGATCGTGGAAGTCTAGCACGACGGAGCATGGCAGATCGGTCCGGGCTGCGTAGGACGGCGGGCGTGGGACGTAGCGATTGAACCCATACAAAATCTTTCACCGACATCAAAGACCTGTCAAATCCTTTGGTCCAGCTTGAAACGTTGACAGAACCCTGCGTTGACGGAATACACAAAAGCTCGCGGTGATCGGGGCCATTAATGAAGAAATCTTTAGCTTCGAGAAGTACTCCCTGGCCGTAGTTCCTCGCGACGACCTGGTATAGCACTGGTCGAACTTCATCTCGCATCGGCGGACACGCGCACGATGAAGCGGATCCGGGAGGGGTCTTCGGCAGTGACTGAGTGTCGTCGTTGTCTTCATTACATTGGTCATCCAACAGTTGGTCCAGTAATTGGCAAGCATGCTGTCGAAACGCGATGATATCCGATAACCGAGTGATATCCATGATGGGTAGAGGGTTGGAGAGTGATGGTATTCCTTGAAAACGTCGAGGAAAAAGAGAACGTACGAATCGACCTCCAAGGTAGCCGCTGTTGGGAATGTGACGATAAACATGAAGTGGGAGCTGCGTGGTGACGTCGTTCTCGGACAGATGAGGAAAGGAAGGACGTGGCTCTAAGTGTCTGCCCCATGGATGGAGGTGAGAGAATTCGTTCTCGTAGCCCTGAGGAGTATACTCGAGCTGTGATGGTCGTGCTGGATGTGGCTGAATTCCTACTGCTGGAGCCTGCCTGGGTTGCTCTGTCCTAGGTCGCTTTGAAGGCACCGACGCCGTACTCGAAGATGCGGGCTGAGAGGTAGATGGAGTTTCTGCGTGTCCACTGATACTTAGTTGGCGTAGCTCGGTCGTTGTCCAATCTGGAATTGGAGATTGAATCGGTGAAAACACACTGCGATCTAAATCGGGAGACTGCTCACCCGAATATGAAGGACGACGAGAGTCAGTACCGAGGGCAGAAGCCCGTGCGACATCTGGAAGAGTGGCTCTATCAAGGGAATGAAAATCGTAGGAGTTACTCATACTCACCGCCGTGAAACTGACGGCGCGCCGCGGCGTGCGATGACGAAGGCTGTATGGCAGTAGATCCCTTCGTGTCACGGGAGTCAGAGGATGGGGCACCAGCCTGGATGGGGAGAGTGATGTTAGGTTTGCCTGGAAGGAAAGAAGTAGCAAGTGGGACGTGGGAGATACTAGATGGCGTAATCCCTACTGAAGTCTGAAGAAGTTGCGCTATGCGATTGCGAACGACTCGACTTCTGTGGCCCCACACCTGCGGGTATCCGTTGTCTTGCTCTTGTTTGACGCTCGTAGGAACTTGAGCCTGTGAAGGAGGACTGGAGGAGGTGCCCATCTCTATCTCTCCTTCTTCGCTGGCCATGACGTGGCTCTATCTGCAAGAGTAAGGCGTAGTGCAGTATGAGGGCAATAGATGGGATTAAATAACGCGACACGAAATAGTTCGAGTAAAAGGAACAGTGTGTGAGTGAGTACACGAAATATAGGAAAATCGTGATGAAAGTTGAAGCGTAGAAGCGTGTGAGGAAGAAATTATTGCAATGTAAGTACGCGAAAAAAAGTATAACGAAGGAAGAGAAAACAGATGAAGAAAGCCGAGAGATAAAAAAAAGGAAAAAAACTGTGGCGAGAAGTCCGCGGATGTGCTGGCCGTCCTCACAGTGAAGCCATACGGGCCCTGAAACGCGAATTATATTTATGTGACGGAGTAGATGAAGAAGAAGTGGAACTCTTTTCGTGATCGTCCTTCTTTATGTAACCGACTACCTCAACTGGGGGAGCGTTTGCTGTGCTAAGCGCCTCCTGTTGGGGTAGCCATGGGGTGGTAAACACTGGTCCGGAAAGGGTGTAACATTTTTTGACCTGGTTGAGGTGAACCCTCCGAGGCGAGGACTGCGGAGCTGTTATACTAACTATAGTGACATGCGGGTGATCTATCGAAATGACTCGGAATTGCCCAATCCATGGATAGCAAAGTTTTGCCGACAGTCCTGGTTTGGGTGTAAAACCACGAAGATACACCCGTGAAGTGTTTGCACTAGAGATTCTTTATAAATGCTAGCGTCCGAATCGTTCGAAATGTGGCCTTCCTGATGATGTCGTATGAGCCAATCGATGTTCAAGACGGCGTCGCGTCCGAACATGAGGAAAAACGGGGATTCATTAGTGCTACTATGAATCGAGGTGTTCTAGGCGAGAGTGCAAGATGGCAAAAATAAATCCCAGTCGGACTGCGTGGCGTCAATGTAAGTTCGCAGCATGGACTGGAACATTCGCTCACAAGCGCCGTTACCCCCGTGGTGGTAAGGGGTCGTGAAGTAACGGTCGATTTGGAAAAGGCGTCCCAGCTCCGAGAGCAAATCGCCCTTCAGGTAGGACGCGTTATCCGAGACGAGTTCTGTCGTGGCACCGAAGACTAGGAAACACTGGGACATGATGGAATGCGCTACGGTAATCGCGGTGCAATCCTGTACCGCTGGAGCAATAACAAATTTGCTAAAATGGTCGATGAGGCACACTATATATTTGTTACGTGGTAGACCTTGCTGAAAATAGCGTTAATCAACACAGGAAGGAGGCGTTCGCGGGACAGCGGATGGGGACGTTTTCGCTGACAGGGATTGCAAGAGCGTACAAACTTGTAGACGTCGTCCCTCATAGAAGGCCAGAAAAACCGTCAAGAAATTTTTGCCAGTGTCTTTTTCCAACCAAAGCGTTCACCAGTTATAGGGCTGTTATGGAGAGCTACACATATAGGTTCGCGCAAGGCGGAAGGGACGAAAACCATTGATCGACGATAGTTGCTTATACCTGCCGGGGAGGGAGAGTAATATAAACAGCCGTTAGACTTGAGAAAGCACTTATCAAACCATTCCAGGCTCAGTTCTTTAAGTTCTGTCGATATATTGTCAGGGAATTTACCTGTATCGAGGAAGTGCATTATTGAACTGCAGAGGGGGTCTTTCTTCTGTGCCAGTAGGGCGTCGTACGGGCGGATAAATTGTGGGGTGGCTAACTGTGTGTTAGAAATCACAACGGCGGGGTCCTCGGTTCGTGCATGATGGAAAAAACACCGTGGAAACTCAATGATATCGTCACCTTCTGGGGTGTTATCCTGAAACTGATTGCTAGGTGATGCATTCCTACTGAGGTAATCGGCTATGACGTTCGAAGAACCTTTCTGGTACTCGATAGAGATATCATAGCTTTGTAGTTCCACGACCCAACGTGCCAAATTATCGTGCGGTTTCCGGTGGCGTAGGAGGAAGGT